TGAGCAGGGAGCCCGATGTGGGACTCGATCCCGGGACTCCAGGATCATGACCTGAGCCGAAGGCAGTCGCTCAACCAACTGAGCCACCCAGGCGCCCTTTTTTTAAGATTCTATTTATTTATTTGAGAGAGAGAGAGAGAGCACGTGTGTGTGTGAGCAGGGGAAGGAGCAGAGGGAGAGGTAAAAGCAGACTCCGTGCTGAGCACACGGAGGTTGACAGGGGAGGAGGGCTCGATCCTATGACCCTGAGATCATAACCTGAGCCAAAATCAAGAGTCAGACGCTTAACAGACTGAGCCATGTACTGACCCCACAACATGAATGAATCTTAAAGGTATTAGTCTGAGTGAAAGAAGCCAGACCAAAAAAGAGTGCATACTATATGACTCCATTTATGTAAAATTCTAGAAAATGCAAACTAATATATAATGACAGCAAATCACTGCCCTTGAGATGGTGGGGGGGGTGCAAGAAGGGGAGGGGACAGGTATTAAGAGGAAACTTTTGGGGGAGATATGTTTAGGAATTCAGTTGTGATGGTTTTACTGGGATATACTTACATCAAAACTTATCAAATTATATATTTTAAACATATGCAATTTATTATATGTTAATTATACCTCAAGAAAGCTATTAAATAAACAAACACTTAACATAATGCCTAATGGGGTGCCTGGGTGGCTCAGTCGGTAGAGCGTCGGGTCATGGTCTCAGGGTCCTGGGATCGAGCACCGCATCAGGCTCCCTGCTCAGTGGGAAGCCTGCTTCTCCCTCCCACTCTGCACCCCCCTTGTGCTTGCTCTCTCTCTACTTGAAGTAGAAATTTGCTCAAGTTGTCTTCCATCTTGGCTCAAACTTCTGACAGTTTCTGAAACTGAATGCAAAGTGACGTTTGTTGATCTATGGTAATGTATAGTCTTGTGCTGTCTTATATGACTGGCTTATTAAGTCATCAACAGTGATTTCGTTTCTTCCACTGAACTGCAAAATCCTCAAGGTCAGGCCTTGTACCTTGAACTTTTTTGTATCCTCCCACGAAGTCCAGCATAGTGACAGACAGAAAAGTTTAACAAATATCTTTTGGTGAACCAAGTGCAGTTTGTGGTTTTTGACAAATCTGGGGGAGGGGGGACTCAAGACAGAAAAGGAAGAATGATTTTCTCTATTTTTTATTCTCTACTCATCTGGAATATAGCATAGAGGACATAAGGAGAAAGACCATGGCACAAACCTACCCCAAGGCACCGCCTCTACCCCTTATGCCACAGCTACCTGAGATATAGATACAGGTCTGCCTGTCCCAGGGTTGGATTAGAGAGCTGTGGGTTGAAGGCTGATGTGAAGACAAGCACCAAGGTGAAAGGATTGCCAGACTGCAAGTCAGCTTCGTTTCATTCCCTTGCTGTCTTTATTTTGACCTCTAAGGTGGTGCTGACCGACAAAGGAAGGAGGAACTCAAGGAGTGCTGGAAATAGAACCATGTCCTTTCACCAAATGCCTTCAATGAGCAGGTGGTCCCAGTTGTGATTATAATGACATTTCTCTCCACGTTCCCCCCAAAAGGTGGCAGTAGGGGCTCTACAGCCGAACAGATCAGCAAAAGTGAAAGAGATGGAGCTACAACTACCATCAGAACCTGGGATTTTTGCCTGTGGAGGGGAGAGACAAGGGTAAACATTATCCACTATAGTGGCGGGTAGAGTTGATGATCTTTGATTTCCGTCGTGGGAACTCTCCATTGCCTGTAGAAATACGTCTGTTGTAGGAGATTATATTGCCCTGGCTTTGACTTTTATAGATCATGTGGGCATAGGAGATGATATAGAACATCCAGAAACAGTGCATGAATATACGGGACAGCAAGCCAAACCAGCGCACGACCCTGACCTCTTCAATGACAGAGTCATTGTTGGTAAGGATTTGAACTACAATGTTTACAATTTCATGGAAAATGATCCAGATGATGTAGATCACCAAGCCCTGGTATATTTGGGCATATACCGAGTATAGGAGGAAGCAGCTGATGATGATGGTAATGAAAGACAGGAAGAAGACAACATTGGAAGTCCAGCAGATGATGAGCTGCTTTACCAGGACGCCTGCACTCTTGGTCTGTACGTAATTCTCAGTGCAGTCGCTGCTCTTTATGTACTTCTGTTCGAAGATGAGGTACATGTTGGTGGCCATGATGGTGAAGACCCCTGATAACACGGTGCCCATCCTGGCAGTCATCCCAAACCAGTGCTGTTCTCTCATGCTGAGACCTCCTGTGAAGACAAACAGGATGCAGGACAATCCTGGTTCCTGCCAATGTGGTAAATGACCAGGGTTTCTGCTCCCTGCCCCCAAATCCACCCTGGAAAACCAATAGAGAGAGAGATGGAAACCAGGAAATAACAGCTTTGGGAAGACATTAGACTCTAAAGTCGCTTGGGAGTGGGAGTGGGGAGGAGGCAGGATGCAGTCTGGGGCTGGTGGCCAGGAGCAGATAAATGAGAGAAGTGGTTCCTAGCCCTGGCTTCGCATTCGAATCCTGCAAGTACCCATGCTCAGGCTCCACCCCAGACCAAAGAGAACATTCTCTGAGTTCGACCTAGAGATCGGTATTTTTCAAAACTTTCTAGTGATTTCCATACGTAGCCAGTCTTGGAAAACCCGGAGTAGAAAAGGTAGTTTAATTATGCTCTTATCTTTCCCGGCGTTGCCTTAGGCAACCATTCCTGCCCCCTGAGGGGGGAAATTGGCAGCACTTGCCAGACCTTGAGGGCAGGTGTCTCAGGAGAAAAATCAGCAGTACAATAGCCCTGCTGGTGTGAGGAGTTGATGAAAACAGGTGGGCACCAACAGGCTTTCAGCAATCGCTCCTGCACTACATATCAAAACTTAAAGACTACAAAGAAAGGTGTGCTTGAAGGGAAATTTACAGCTTCAAGGATGGAATAGCCTAATAATAGAAAAGAAAAAGCAATAATGAGCTGTGTGTTCAGCTAAAAGATTTAAGGGAAAAAACCAACACAACAATAAGAACAACAAAAAATAGGAGAAAAAAATAAATAGAAGGGCAGAAATCATTGAAAAGGAAAGTAGAGGGATTTCTGATTGGGTTATGGGGGTCAACCTGCTACTTAAAACAACTAAAAATGCTGGATAAAATAGTTTTTAAATATTCTTAAAAGCATAGAAGGGCTGGCAAAGTACGAGGTAGGAAGCCAATCTCGAGGAGTTCAGAAATGGGGAGAGGTAAGCAAGCATGGGAGGCAATGTTGCACTGAGGATATTTACCAATCTGAGCAAACTCTGTAGGCTAAGGATGAATGAAGTCAAAGCTCAGGGTTTACCAAGGTGGGTAGTCTATTAGAAAGCCTTCCTTGTATTAGTCATGGCTCCCCAAAGGGCTGTCATTAAAGGTGAATCAGAAGTAAACCTGACCCACATCTTTCTCTCAAGAGACTCCAAGAAAGAGAACTTAGTACGGCACTGAACATAAGGGGAGAAACTCTCCTCGGGACTTTGTAACCGTAGCTAGATTTTTTGTCGATTTGTAATCCAAATTATATGAAGTATTCAAAAAAGCTTATAAGGGGCACCTGGGTGGCTCTGTTGGTTAAGGGTCTGACTCTTGGTTTCTGCTCAGGGTCGTGGGATCCAGCCCCGTGTTGGGACTCCCTGCTCACCACAGAGTCTGCTTGTTCCTTTCCCTCCCCCTCTGCCACTTGCGCGCTCTCTCTCTTAAATAAATATATAAAATCTAAAAAAAAAAAGCTTTTAAGTTACAAATCTAGTTTAAAGTAGTCCTGAGCTGGAATTATCTCTAAGTTCCTGGCAGAAACAAACTCAAATCTTCTCTGGAGGAATGCATCTTTGTGCTGGTCCTCAAAGAATCTCCATCAGTACATCTTCAGGGACAATGACTACTACACAGTAAAGAAGAACCTAGCACACAAGGAACAAGGCACTGCAAATGAGAACCAGCAGAAATAACAGAAGAAACAGAACTGCAAAAATATGAAATTATGAAACAATTATAGTTACTACATTTTTTTGCATTAAAATTTTAATTTTATTTTTGATTACAGTAAAATACACATAAAATGTACCATCTTAACCATTTTTTAAGTTTACTTATTTATTTATTTTAGTAATCTCTACTCCCAATGCGGGGCCTGAACTCACGACCCAGAGATCAAGAGTTGCATGCTCTTTCAACTGAACCAGGCTGGTGCCCCACCATCTTGACCATTTTTTTTAAAAAAGACTTATTTATTTATTTTAGAGAGCGAGAGAGAGAGCCCAAGCAGGGGCGGGGTGGCACAGAGGGAGAGGTGGGAAGAGAGAGAGAAGCATACTCCCCACTGAGTGTGGAGTCTGATGCTGGGCTCAATCCCATGACCCCAAGACCATGACCTGAGCCAAAATCAAGAGTCAGATGTTTAACCGACTGAACTACCCAGGTGCCCTGTTACAGTCCAACAGTGTTAACTGTATTCACATTGTCGTGCAGCCAATCTCTAGAACTTTTTCATTTTGCAAAACTGAAACTTTCTACCCATTAAACAACTCCCTATTTCCCCTCTCCCACAACCTCTGGCAACCATAATTCTACTTGATTTTCCTTTTTTTTTTTAAAGATTTTATTTTTTATTTGACAGAGAGAGACAGTGAGAGAGGGAGCACAAGCTGTGGAAGTGGGAGAGGGAGAAGCAGGCTTCCCGCTGAGCGGGGAGCCCAATGCGGGGCTCGATCCCAGGACCCCGGGATCATGACCTGAGCCGAAAGCAGATGCTTAACGACTGAGCCACCCAGGCGCCCCTACTTTATTTTCCTTTTAAGTAGGCTCCACACCCAATGTAGGGCTTGAACTCATGACCCTGAGATTAAGAGTCGCATGCTTTGGGGCGCCTAGGTGGCTCAGTTGGTTAAGCATCTGCTTTCAGCTCAGGTCATGATCCCAGGGCTCCCTGCTCAGCAGGGAGCCTGCTTCTCCTTCTCCCTCTGCCCCACCCTCCCCTGTTGTGCTTTCTCTCTCTTTGTCTCTCTCACTCTCATTCTCCCGCTCTGGCTCAAATAAATAAATAAAATCTTAAAAAAAAAAGTTACATGCTTTACTGACTGAGCCAGCCAAGGACCCCATCTACTTTTTGTTTCTGTGATTTTACTACTCTGGATATAATATATAATATACCTGGATGTGATATATTCAGAGTAGTAAAGTAGAATGATACAGTATTTGTTTTTTTGTTTCTAACTTATTTTACTTAGTGTAATGTTTTTAAAGTTTTTTTTAAAACATTTTATTTATTTATTTGACAGAGAGAACAAGAGAGCACAAGCAGGGGGAGCAGTAGAGGGAGAGGGAGAACCAGGCTCCATGCTTAGCAGGGAGCCTGATGTGGGGCTCAATCCCAGGACCCTGGGATCATGACCTGAGCTGAAGGCAGACGCTTAACGACTGAGCCACCCAGGCACCCCTACTTAGCATAATTTTTTCAAGGTTCATCTATGTTGTAGCTTGTATCAGAATTCCCTTTGATTATAACATTTATATAAATAAAAGACAATATTGAAAATATATGTGGAAACCTGAAACCATAGAAAATAACCTAGCAGATTTGAAAGAGAATCAGATAGAATTCCTAGAGATGAAAAACTTAAGACCTGAAATTAAAATTTTGGTGGGCATATTGGTAGCAGATTAGACATGATGAAGTGATAATGAGTTAACCAGAGGATAGGTCAGAAGACATTATCCAGACTGTAGTACAGAAAGACAAAAAGATGGAAAATATGTATGAGAAGTTAAGAGACATGAAGAATATAATAAGATGGTCTGATGAGAGAAAGAGAGGGAGAGAGAAAGGGAGAGAGAGAAAGAGAAGAAGGAGGTAGGGGAGGAGGAGGAGAAGGAGGAGGAGGAGGAGGAGAAGGAGAAGGAGAAAAAGAGGAGGAGGAAGAAGAGGAGGAGGAAGGAAGAGGAGGAAGGGAGGAGAGAGAAGCATAGGGTAGTATATTTGAAGAGATAACAGCTGAGTGTGATATTGTGATTTATTATAAGAAATATATATTTGGGGTGCCCAGGTGGCTCAGTTGGTTAAGCGTCCAACACTTGGACTCTTGGTTTTGGCTCAGGTCATGATATCAGGGTTGTGAGATTGAGCTCTGTGTTGGGCTCCACGCTCAGTGTGGAGTCTGCTTAAGATTCTCTCTCTCCCTCTCCCTCTGCCCCTCCCACCAAAATAATGAATGAATAAATCTTAAAAAAAAAAAGAAATATATATTTGGTTTTCATCCCTGGTCCTGGCTTATAGTTCCCCAAACCCTTGACACTTCCTAAGTGTTGAGAAGGATAAAGGTGTCTTTTGTCATGTTAACGAGTCTGTTCCCTCTACCCATCCCCACTGCTTGTGCACGTGCACTCTCTCTCAAATAAAATCTTAAAAAAAAAGAAAAGTAGTTGATAACTGTGCAAGTCTTTTTTATTTGTGAAATGTTCTGAAAATAATACATTGTTTCAACTAAGTACACCACTAGAAGTGATTCTGATTCCACCTTTGAATATTGACATTAAACAAAAAAGATTTATTTGAGAGAGAGAAAGAAAGGGGGGGGAGGAGTGGAAGGAGAGAGAGAATCCCAGCAGACTCCACAGTGAGTACAGTGCCTGATGCAGGCTTGATCTCACGACCCTGAGATCATGACCTGAGCGGAAATCAAGAGTCAGCAACTGAGCCACCCAAGCGCACCCACATTTTTTTTTAAAGTAGGCTCCACGCCCAGTGGGGCTTGAACTCATGACCCTGAGATCAAGGGTCACATGCTCTACTGACTGAGCCAGCCAAGCACCTCGAATATTGACATTTTAAATGCTTTTAAATGAAAGATATGTCTAGGACTCTGAAAAACAAACAGGGTTCTAGAGGGGAGGGGGGTGGGAGGATGGGTTAGCCTGGTGGTTGGTATTGAGGAGGGCACATTCTGCATGGAGCACTGGGTGTTATGCACAAACAATGAATCATGGAACACTTTATCTAAAATTAATGATGTAATGTATGGGGATTAACATAAGAATAAAAAAAATAATTAAAAAAAAAAGAAAGATATGTCTACATTGATTTTTAAATGAACTATACACTAGAAAAATAAAAAATTATTAATGTGACAAAATATTGTAAAAGAGTTTACTTTTATCCTTCCACTTCATTTTAACATTATCCTTTTTTAACTGATTAACATTTATAATGTTTGTTTAAAAATATTTT